CATTGTTGGTGGAGCTGTGAAATGATCCAACCATTTTGGAGAGCAATTTGGAACTATGCCCAAAGAGTTATAAAAACATGCATACCCTTTGACCTAGCAATAGCACTTCTAGGGCTATATCCCAAAGAGATCATACAAATGGGAAAAGGACCCACATGTAAAAAAATATTCATAGCAGCTCTTTTTGTGGTGGCAAAGAAGTGGAAATTGAGAGAATGCCCATCCATTGGGGAATGGCTGAGCAAGTTCTGGTATATGAATGTAATGGAATACTATTGTGCTATAAGAAATGATGAATAGGCTTACTTCAGAAAAACCTGGAAAGACTTGTATGGTCTGATGCTGAGTAAAGTAAGTAGAACCAAGAGAACATTGTACATGATAATAGCCACGTTGTGCGACACTAATATTTGATAAACTCAACGTTTCCCAGCAATACAAGGATCTAAGACATCTCCAGAGGCCTCATGATGGAAAATGCTATCCACATCCAAAGAAAGAACTATGGAAGTTGAATTGCTATTTTTTTTCTCTTCTGTTGAGTTTTGTTTCCTCTTTCTGATGGTTCCCCCTGTTGGTTTTAATTTTTACTTACAATATCACTAATGTGAAACTGTTTAATAGGAATGTAAAAGTATAGCCTATATCAGATTGTGTGCTGTCTTGGGGAGGGTGATGGGGAGGAAGGGGGAGAAAAATTTTAAACTCAAAAGTATATGGAAATGATTATTGATAAATCAAAATAAATTAATAAAAAAAAATTTAATTTTAAAAAGAACTTATTGGGCTCCCTAAAAAACATGATTTGTTTTTAAAAGCCTGGAGATAGTAATTGAAGAAATCTTAAGTGAAAACTGCTCAAATCTATTAGAACCAGAGTAAAGTTTAGGAAGAATCCACTAATCACTTTCATCTGAAAACAACAAAGAAGGATTGAACGTACACACAGAGTTTAGTGTAGAAAGAACACATTGGACCCAATAGGGAAACGAGCAGGGATGGGAGAGGGTGGCAGTTAAGAGGGAAGTAAATAGCCACAAGCAAAATCAATTTCCTGAATTGAAGAATTAAAAGATAGAGGAGAGAGAGGAAGAAAAGCAAAGAACCAAAATCCTGGGGGCAAGGGAAAAGGGACTTATATTTTCTCTTAGACAACTGGGAAATGGCTTAACAAACTGTGGCATATTAATGTAATGGAACAATATGATGTTACAAGAAACGATGATAAAGAAGTGATTTCAGGCACTCCTGGGTAGTATGAACTAATGCAGAGTGAAGTGAGTAGAACTAGAAGAACAACTGCTACAGGGCCAGCAATATTGCACATAAAAACAACCTTGAAAAGTTCACAACTCTAAGACAATGACCAATTATGTCTCCAGAAAAAGCTACGATGAAACACGTTCCTCACCTCCTGACAGAGACACAAAAAATGTGCTGAAAGAGAAACATTTTTTGGACGCGGATTCCTGCTGCTTGACTATGCTTTTTTTGTTGAACAGGCTTTTATTTTCCTCTTGATTTTTATTTGGAGAAGGGGTAGTAGGAAAGGGGTTAGCAATAGTGATTAAAAAAAAAAAGGCCCATTATAACATTTTATAAAATGTAAAGAAGTTGAGAAAGCACATACAAGTAGGACAGTTTTGAAAGTAACATATATAATTTATTGCACATATATATATATTTTTAAAGTAAACAGTATGAAATAGAGACTCACAGTTTCACATAGAATGCTCTTTTGTGTCCTGCTGCTCTTTTTTAGTGTTTAAGTTCAGAATAAAATTTTTTAAAATTAGAGTCAAAATCTGCTTCTCTATAATCTCCATCCATTCCTCCCAGTTCTGCCACCTAAGGCCAAAACTGTCTAATAGTTCTGAACATGTCCAATACTGCATGTCTTAGTTCCATGTGACAGCCCTTCAAAAACATGGAGACAGCTATTGGGTTCTCACACTCCCAGTCTTGTCTTCTTTAGCTTAAAGATGCCCAGTTCTTTCAAATTCTCCTCTTCATGGCACGCTATCAAAGGTCTTCATACTCCTGGTTCCCCAACTATAGCCATTGGCCAACTTATTAATGTCCTTTCTAAAAAGTGGCAGAACCCAGAAAGTGAACCAGATGTGGTCTGGCTAGAGCAGAAAACCTATTCCTAGAAACTGACTCTCAATGTAGCCTAGGAAACCACTAGCTTTTCTGGTTGCTATATCAAACTGTTGGTTCACACTGAGCCTACAACCCACTAAAATCCAATTAAATTATGTCTAACCAAGCTTTCTTCATCCCCTACTTAAAAAGTTTATTTTCTAAATCCATGAATAAAATGTTACATTTATCCCTATAACCTATGGCCCAGCACATCTCTGTGTTTAAAAGGAACAGGTTCAATTTTAGGGACTTCTCACAGAGATAACTAGAGTTTTACCCCTCTAATAATATAAGAATTTGACTTTTTGTCTTGGTTTCAACATTAAGGGGAAAAAGTCATTAGATCACATGCAAACACCCAGGCTAACAAAATAGCCTATCGCACAGGCTTTATTTAACCCAACAACAACAACAATAAAAAATGCAAAGACTTGTGTCCAAAGCCATAACAAAGGTAACTCTTCTTCCTTGCCAGGGGACCTACACTTCCCACATACCCAAAGTCTGCTATACTTGGGGTTGTGACTCTGTAGTAACTCAAGTTACTACAAAGTTGACACCCTTTGAAGGACCTATACATGCTACTTAAATTACAGCACCAGTCAAGAATAAGATCCAGTTTTGCTGCTCCAAATCATGGCTAACATTTATTGTTCTTCAGATTCAGGACCTTAGGTAAAAAATAATAATAACAATCATGGTTTTGCAAAGCACTTTTTATATATTGCTTAACCTGATCCTCACAATAACCCTCTGAAGTAGGTGCTATTGTTATCCTCATTTTACAGAAGAGGAAAAAGACTGAAAGAAGTTATGTGACTTGCCTAGGGCCACACAGCTATAAAATATCTGAGATATGATTTCTGATTCTAGGTCCTGTAACACTCTATCAACTACGCCATCAAGCTGCTTCCCCTCCATCACTCTGTCATTGCCTTGATGCCATTCCTGAAGCTAAGTGAACAGCCCCTCCAGCCCATCCCTACAGGATGCTTCTACGAGGAACCAGGTCCAAGTTTTCAAATAGTCCCTCTCTTCTCTGTCCCCGATCCCCTGCCCCTTCCAATTTTCTAACACTAAAACTCTTTAAAAAGTCCACATCCCGCTGACTTCTTCATCGAGTTATGTTAATCACCTTAATAATCAAGTCACTGACCTGCAACTTCTGATCTGTAAACCTTTGCCATAAATGTCCATGTTAGTACCCAGGATAAGGTCAATTAACACCTCAGCAAAGAGTCATTAAGACTAAAATTTTCCCTGACAAGCAGGATTCTGGACTATCTGACCACAAGGCTGCACAGGAACAGACTCTCCACATACCTATTAAGTTTCATCTTGTTAGACTCAGTTAATTCTGGCTGACTTTATCCTATCTCTGTCACCCAACCTATTCACTATTCTTAAGTTTCACCTGCAAATCTTATACGCCTTTGTCCAAGCCATTGAATAGACAGAGATGCACAGGATCAAGGAATGATCCCTGTAGCACTGCACTAGAGAAAAATCTAACTGTACTATCATCTAGTCCAAATCTCTCCACGTCATCCACAAGTAGACACTGGGGAAGACTAAAATGGAAAAAAAAGAGCTAAGGTGGATTCAGGAAGAGATAGGCTTAAGATATATGAAAGAAAATAAAAACTAAAGGCAAGTTTGCCTGCTAAATTAACGTCATAACATTTTTCCTATGAAAAATGTATCAAAGGGCAGCGAAGTGGTGCAGTGGATAAAGCACTGGCCCAGGAGTCAGAAGGACCTGAGTTCAAATCCAGTCTCAGACCAGACACTTGATACTTACTAGCTGTGTGACCCTGGCAAAGTCACTTAACCCCAATTGTCTTGCCAAAAAAGAAAAAAAAGAAAAGAAAAAAATGTCAAAATTTCATGTATTCCAATTTGTGATACTTATCTCTATAGACCACTAAAGCTATCTGTTCATGTTTAAGCAATCAATAAGATTAATAAAGTCTTGGGATTAAGGAAATAGTTCCATTAATGCCTTAGAAAATATTCAGAGTAACAACAATGTATATGACTGATCAAAAAAATAAACACAACAGATCTTACATGTATAAATAAATGTGTCCTTCAATAGTTAGCTTGGAAAGCTTTTTATTTATTCCAACAATATTATCATTGCTCAAAATATTTTTGGAATATCAACTTGCCAGCCTCAAAAACCAATTTCATTACTTTTGTAATCACATTTTCATCTAGATACATTAGAATCAGACTTGCCTGGGTCTAAGAATTTAGCATTCTGAAAATCAAATTCCCATTCAATGAATAAAGATCTGTACCCATTGATGATATTTAAAAGAAATCACTCTGAAGGCCATTCCAAAAAAAAAAAAGGATGTTACCAAAAGAAAAAAAAAGGTATTATTATGAGAATAATAAATGGCAGATATATGTATATGTATAGGAATCTATGTATGTGTACACATATACATACATACCTAGTCCTTTGTATACATTTTGAGATCGAAAGGGGAAAATTTTCACTGGGATAGATGAATTATTAATTTTAATTTTTAATCTACTTTTTAACTATACCATGTATATGAGTGCCTAGCATAGAAATTCAGAGACAAGATTACAAATAATACAAAACTACAGGCTAAGGGGATACACTTAGGGCAAGCGAACAATAATTTAAAATATAAACATACTTTGCAAGAAAACTATGCTCCTGATTAATTGCCCTATTTCAGTGGAACTGCCATGAATTCTCTCCAAAACTTGCAAACCCCTCAAGAGCTTTTCTCGAAATTCAAAGGATGTCATTTGCTCCCCTAAAATTCTAGAGTTATCCGTGTTCTTCATCATCTTGAAATTCTGTATCTACTTACATTTTAGAGCACTGAAAGCTAGTTCATAGGACAAACGCTGGGATTTTTCATCTTCAAAATCCGGCAAGGCCAGCACTGGTTCATGGCCATACTTTATCAAGACTTTGTCGGGTGCCTTTTCAATTCTAATGCTTTGAAAAATATTAGCTGCCTTTATATAAACAGCGTCCTGATAGCCATTTTTTTCATTTAAACACATTACACTTTTTTCTTTGGATCCCGATTCCTCCGTATGTGTCAGGGGAAGTGAGTTTTGATAATTCGTTTTTAATTTCTTCTTCGGAAAACTCCAGTTCACTTGCAGAGTTGATCATGCTTTCCCAGGAATTATAACTTCAGTAAAACAAGCGGGAATCATCGGGCTCCGTGACTGATGGTGTCACCCGCATCCTAAACATGATTTCTGCGGGGGGAGAAAAAGGATCTCGGTCAGTCAATAAAAACGCCCTTTCTGCCCGCATGGACGATGCCCAGCTAGGGACCCTCGACAGGCTGAGACCCTCATCTAGGGGGTCTTTACCGAAAGGGCCTTTTCTCCTGTGTACGGGGAAGGGGACGGGGGTGGGAGGTAGTTATTAAAAGCGGGGGGCGCGTAACTCAAACCTTCTCCCCGCCCAGCTTCACTACTAGGAGCATAGACGGGGAGGGGGGAGGGGCGAGGGCCCCCCCCCCGGGGGCCTGCTCGTCTCCACCCGCGCCCATCCTCTCGCCCCCCGGGCTGGCGCCTGAAGCGCGGACCGACTTCGGCGAGGGCTGCCTGGAGAGGGGAGCGAACGTCCCTGCAGGAGGGCCACCCTTACCCAAAGAGGGAGGGTGAGGACGCTTCCCCAACCGGGGGGGTGGGTGGTGTTTCCCCCAACGAAGTGAAAGGCACCTGCCGCACTTAGCGAAAGGGCCAGACGGTTTCCACAACAGGTGGAAGACGAGACCAATCGCGGTCACAGTAGCGAGGGCCACTCCCCCGCCTCAATAGCCTCGGGACGCGTAGGAGGCGGGGCCCCGCGTCCGCCCCGCTCTGCACACGGCCCCACAGTCCCTCCCCTTGCCCTCCTCCGACCTGCGGGCGGGCCCGGGGAGGCCGTTTCATTTAAATGTAGGCGGTGCCACTGCGCTCCTCCGCATGGGAGCGGCCCTCGAGCTTTCGCCCGCTGGTCCCCCTGCCAGGTGAACCCCCAAAATTTTAGAGGCCAAGTCCTAGCTCTTGGTGCCTCTGCGTCTCTGGGAGCTGAAGGAGACGGAAGGGTGAGGGGATCCGGCTGTGGAGAGACCGCCTCAAGGACAGGTGTCCCCCTCCTTTTAGGAAATCGCACCGTCTGGAGCCTGATCTCCATAGTAACCGGGCGGGCTCCGCCCTGGTGATGCCGGAGGCTGCTGGCGTTTTTCACGCCCTCTTCTTGCTTCTTCGCTGTAGTAGCGTCCCTGCCTGGCGTGGGTCTCTGCCCCACCTCTTGTTTTTTCCTATGCCCACATCCCTCTCCATTCCTCCCATCATCCCTCCTTGCCTCCCACGCAAGATACGTTCTGACACTTGCAGCCAAATAGAAGGATAAGCCTCCGGTCTATATCCAAGATCTGGAGTGAGGACCTCTCACCTTCTTTCACCAAAATAAATAAATAACACATGAGTCCCACTTTCCCAGGCTCCACTTCCAATCTTATTAAGGACCTCGCCTTAAACCCAAATGACTGAGGCTGTCATTGATCGGGCAACAATAGCCCCAGCCAAGTCCCACTTTGTTTGGGCCCTGATTGGCTCAGAGTGAACATAAATCGCAATTGTTTATGTTTCGGCCAGAAGCCCGGAGAGTCTTTCCCTCTCTACATACATACTACATACATACTACATAAAGAGGCCATTCTCTGCCTCATTTCTTACCTATCCTTAATTACTGAATGGGTTCTGCCTCAGTCAAACTGAGACCTGTTGAAGACCTTAGCTTGAAAAAGCCCAAGATCCTCCACTGCATCTGGGGCCATCTCCAGTTGTCCTGATCCATATCCGACCACTGGACCCAGATGGCTGTGGGGGAGAAAGTGAGGCTGGTGACTTTGCACAGCCCTCCCTCACTTAAATCCAATTCACTTGCATGTCTTGGCCACACCTCCATGAAGCTGAGGAGTACCTCAAAGAACAAAGGACAAACAAAATCAATCTTACCTACTTCATCCCCCTGTGGAGTGTCCACAGTGATGTTTTAAAATCTCCTGTAGGGCTGGACCAAGTCTTTAAAAAACATCATGTGCACAGTAGGAGTTCAGGAAATATTTGTTGAATAAATGAGCATTAACTTAAAAAAAAACATGAAGAGGTGGATTTAAAAAATGATCTATTTGTCGCTGTTTTCCCCCTAATGAAATATTACATAGGTACTCCAAACCCTATGCTCTCACAACTCTTCTCCATTTCTGGGTAGTCCATCAGTTGCCTTTTCTTCCCCTGTAACATCTCTTGAATCTGAACCCTTCTCTCAACTCACCATTAGGTGAGGTCCTCATCATATCTCACCTATATTATGGCTTCCTAGTTGTATCCTTCACTTCATCTCTTTCCCATTGCGATTCATCCTCCAGGAAAGCTGCCAAAGTTTATTTATACCCACGCCCAGATCTCACCATGGTACTTCCCTACTCAATAAATTCCAGGAGTCCCTGATGCCTCTGTTTGGCTTTTTAAAGTCCCTCACAATCTACTATCAACCTCTCTTTACAGTACATATGAATTACTCTATATGTCACTCTATAGTCCAGCCAAATTGTCCTCCCTGTTCCTCATCATATCTCCATCACACACACACACACACACACACACACACACACACACACACACACACACACACACACACACACACACACATACACTTTTGCTCTGGTCCTTCCCCCATACCCAGAATTCACTCCCTCCTATTTTGTACCTCGGGGAATCCTTTTAGACACAGCCCTAGCTGTGTCTACACAAAGCCTTTCCTGTTCCCATAACCCAACTACAGGAGCCCTTCCTCCTTTTAACTACCTTGTTTTCATCTGTGCATATGCATATAAATTTACATGTTTTCTCTTACATAAAATATAAGCTCTTTGAGAGCAGCGATTGCTTGATATTTTTGTCTTTGTATTCCCAGTGCCTAATCCCTTATCTGGGGCAGCTAGGTGGATAGAGTGCTAGGCCTAGAGCCACACAGACTCATCTTCCTGAGTTCAAATCTGGCCTCAGACACTTGATAGCTGTGTGACCCTGGGTAAGTCAATTAATCCTGTTGGCCTCAGTTTCCTGATCTGTATAATGAGCTGGAGAAGGAAATGGCAAACCACTCCAATATCTTTTCCAAGAAAACCCCAAATTGGGTCACCAGGAGTTGGACAGGACTGAATAACAACAAATTCATTATCTGGAACATAAAAGGAGATTAATAAATGCTTGATTGGTTGACTCATGTCACTGCAAGTGTATAGAGACATAGAGGTTTATAGGACTAAGAGCTAGTGCTTGTCTTCCAGGAACTCTCTCACATTTAGGAGATTCAAGGAATATTCAAAGACAAAAATGAAACCAATCCCTGACCTCAAGTAACTTACATTCTCCTGGAATCACACATATTGGTTAGGTGTTTTCTTAATACAGGAATGGTGCTAGGGGCATTTAAGAGGACTACATGTTTTCTCTGTATAACTTTTAATATTTGAGAGCTTTTACTGTGCCTAAAGGGCTATAAAACTGTGCATACAATATTTATATCAGGTCCTTTAGTGGTGGCAAAGAATTGGAAACTGAAGGGATGCCCATCAACTGGGGAACAGCTGACCAGGTTATGGTATATGATTGTGATGGAATTATATTGTGTTATGACAAGAAATGACGAGCAACATGCTATCAGAAAAACTTGGAAAGACTTACATGAACTGATGCAAAGTGAAGTGAGCAGAATCAGGTGTACACAGTAACAACAATATTTATGATGATCAGCTGTGAATGACTTAGCTATTTTCAGCAATACAGTGATCGAAGACAGTTCCAAAGGAGTTATGATGAAAAATCTATCCATCTCCAGAGAAAGAATTGATGGACTCTGAATGCAGATCAAAACATACCCTTTTTTAACTTTATTTTTCTTGATTTCTTCTGATCTGTGACTGCACAGATAGCCAATATCTTCTCAATGAGGAAGGAGGAAGGAAGGGAGAGAGAAAGAAAATTTGAAACTCAAAATTTTGAAAAATGAATGTCAAAAATTGGTTTGACATGTAATTTGGGGGAAAACAAAATATTAAATAAATTTAAATATAAAATTAAATTTAAAAGGATATATGAGCTCTCGATCCAAATCTGGGTTTCCTTATACCATTAAAGGTAGTCGAAACTGATATAGATGATTAAGTATATGTGTACCCTTATTGAATGATTACATAAACTAAACTTTGAAAACCAAAGGAGTAAGGTTGGGACATTTTGTAGATTGAATGTGGAAATGAATGACTTCCAGTTTATAATCTCCAAGTTACACGTTCAAATATTGAAAATTAGGTTTTTTTCTCTTACCACATATCAATTTTATCAATTTTGATGGCCTCTAGCTCGATGAACTTTGGTGGCAGGAATCATCAGAAGTCTATTGGACTGACTTTAATGCCAGTTGGAATACTTCACTTGATTTTATAAGTCTTCTCTAATTTCTCTCAGATCTCATCTGTGTAGCCATGAAAATATGTAAGGTCACATGCTGAAAAACAGAAGAAAAAATGTAAAAGTAATGTGACAAATTACTTTTAAAAATAACACCTTTTGCCTTAGCTACTAAGGCTTTTTCTAAAATATGTTTTTTCAAGTTAGAATTAAAATTTGGGGAGCCCGGCGGCGGAAGGAGGAGCGTCGAGGCCCAGGAGCCTTGCTCGTCCAGAAGCTCTCGCGGCCGCGGCCCTTTCCCTCCGACCCCAGAGCCCTGCCGCTCCCGCCAGCGCTCGCCCGACTCTGGAGAGAGGGAGCCAAGATGCCCAAGAGGAAGGTCAACCCCGCAGAAGGGGACGTAAAGGAGGAGCCCAAAAGGAGGTCGGCCACATTGTCAGCTAAACCAGTCCTTGCAAAGGTTGAACCTAAGCCCAAAAAGACAGGTGGGAAGGATAAATCCGAGGACAAAAAAGTTCACACAAAAGGAAAAAAAGGAGCAAAAGGAAAACAAGCAGAAGCTACTAATCAAGAGGAAAATAAAGATGACTTGCCTGCAGAAAATGGGGAAACTAAAACTGAAGAGATTCCAGTCTCTGATTCAGCAGGAGAGAAAGAAACCAAATCTGTATAACATCTTATACAAAGTCTTTTAACAATTGTCCCTGTTACCTCCCTTCTTGTACAATTCAGAGGAATATTTTTATCAACTATTTTGTAAATGCCAGTTTTTTAGTAGCTCTAGAAACACATTTTTAAGAAGGAGGCAATCCCACATCATCACATTAATTTTTTAAAACATTTAGATAAGTGTAAGCCAATCTAAAGTGGCTGTATTTAGAGTCCTATTTAAAGAGGTGAAATCATGTTCTGGTTGTCAATTTCGTTTTTTGTTTTGTTTTAATACAACCAGAAATTAATAGAATGTTGATTAGGAAGGTATTGTGTGTCTTGTGCACAGGCTTAACATTCCATAGGCAGTTTTTACATCATATTAAATGTAGCATAGACAGCAATTTGGAGTTGTGACCATGAATTTTAAAGGTCTTATTTTAATTAATCTGTATCCATCTTGTCTTTCGGTACAATTGTTTCCTAAATAAAACTGCTCCCTGGTGTTGGATCTCCCTTTCAAAATTGTGTGCTATCTATGACATTGTCATCTTTGGTAGTGGTGGTACAATTTTTTTCCATTAACTTTGTTAATGTGCTGTAAAAGACTGGAAAATGTGTATAATAAGCATAGTTTTATCAAATACAGAATTAGTAGAACTTTGCTTTGTAAAAGACCCAATACCTTGTCCATATTCAGGATGCTGGTATTTGATAACCTCTTTTTAGGGAGAGATGCCTCCAAGTTTAAAGTTAAAAAGTCACTGGAATAACAGTTCAGAAAAGGATTACAACT